ATGCCTGTGTTATCTGGGATATTTTACGTCACGCGGGATACAAAGCCATGCATAAAGTATAAGAACAAGCTGTGCGAGGAGGACGCAAATTCCTCTTTCTTCTTGTTGAGCGGAGCCAGCCATACCGCTTCTTGTCGCGTTAACGCTCAACTTTCCGGCGTGAACTCTAATCTCGTTCGCTGTCGTTCGCGTTATCGTGGGGCTTAAATCTTCGCCGACTCGCACTCGTAACGCTGCCATCGTCGCCGCCGATTCCAGTCGCGCGATATCAGCCGCGATGTCGCCTCTTTTCTTGCTCAACTTTAACGCGATCCCAGCGATTTATTATCGTTCCCCGTCGATCCGCCGGCCACGCGCGTTAATGCGTTTCGAAAATCGATTGTGCGTCGATGCCGGCTGTTATCCCGATGGAGCAAATCTAAATTTCACCCACTTTATTCGCGCCGCTGTTCGTCGACATCGCTCCGCGGCAACGCGCTCGAAATGATTGCATTATCGACACCATCGGTTTCACCAACAGCAGTGGACATGGGACTTTTTCAATTTCGCGCACAATATCTATTTGTCGTTTTATACGCCCAAATTATCCGACGATAACATAACTAACTGCCGCGTAACGCCGAACGCTCGCCAAATCTCGCGGAATGCGGGCTACCGCGCGCGCGAAAAAATTTATCTCACCACGCACAAAATAGGAGGTAATTGCGAAACACGGTAGCGTGCAAGAGCGTATTTTAAGTGTTTTCGGTGGGTCGCGGACGACACAACGAAAATCGCCAAAGTGGCGTATTTTTCGCGGTTTCGTTTTGTGGTTTCAAACAGCAACCAGCGGCTGGCAGAACCAGAGAACAGAACGGTCCTGGTCAACGTGGATGGCAGTGTATGTACATTTGTTCGGTTGTTATTTACCCTTTGCGCGGAGATCGTGTGTCATTTTTACGGCGAATGGTCGAGAAGTCGAAATGCGGGGAAAACATCGGCGCGCAAATTCGCGAAATGTTGGACATTCAAACTGAAGGAAGAATTAATCAAAATAACACTCAAAAGAAAATGGATTATTTTTTTTTTTCGTTTTAGTTTCAGAATAAGTTAATAGACATTTCTCTTAACACCATTGAGTTTTATTTTTATTAGAAGCACAACATATGTAATTGCTGACTTTGATTATATTGCGAAAGTAGATTGAATTTTTGAAAAGTAAATTCCGATCCCCTCGTTCTTTAAGAAAGTATGTAAAAAACTCTCCGTTAAAAATGTAGACGTAAAATGCTTCTCGTGCTAGGCTATTATAGAATATAAATGCGTAGAAAAAGTTCTCATGAATATTACGATAGCTTATTACTGTGTTAACATAAGAATTCTACTGACTTGATAAAGATAGCTAAAGTGTTATAAAGATTTGGATAATCTCGCTGTTTGATCGTAGCTTCGAAAATACGGCAGCCCCGCAGAAATGCGGGACATTAACATGCAGCCACGAGAATTAAGGGAGGGAGGGAAAAGAATTTTATTGCGCGTAGCCCTGAGCCGGGTGCTATGCATTTATTCTCTTGCTATTTACCCCTTGCCCTAAGGGTGCGTGTTATTTTCGCTATAAAAGACCGGGGCACGAGGAAAGGACGTGCGCAAAGGAAGAAGGGTGAGGCGAGTGAGAGATCGCTTACACACAGGGAAAGTGAGAAAGAGAGGAAAAAAGAACAGCGCGGGTAAAAATGAAGCGAAAATATTAAAAAGCACTCAGCCTCGCTTTCCAAATTCACGTAATCTAGAAAAGTCGCCCCGACGACTTTATCTCGATGCGCCGCGGTAAAGAACGACGCGACGAGAATTACTGCGTCGGCCGGAATAGGCCGGGAGTGTAACGCGAGTATGAGGCGATTCGGGTTAAAGACACGTCGCGAAATTAATGCACCAATAAATATTTAGAAACGTATAATTTTCTTGCACGCGCGTTATGCAAAGCAGCCGCTGGCGGGGTGTACATTTATTCCGTTTGCTATTTACCTTTTGCTCGCCGGACATTTATCATTTTTACGAGGGTTCGCAGGTCGCGGGCGAATCGTTTGGCGAGGGAAATACGGGAGCGCGGAGGGAGGGAGGGAAGGCAACGGGAAGGTCTCGTGCGACGAGACCGCGGATTAGGGCGGAATATTGAAAATGAATTTAACTGCGGCCCGAAATTATATGTTCATCGCAAATATGAAACGACCGCGTTCTCAGTTATGTTCGCAAAAAGGATGGATTCCTTAAACACAGACATTTCCTTTTCCCTTTCTCGGTCAATACTATGTCGTGGATGAAATCTATTAGCGACTGGAAAGAATACCGTTTGCTCACGAGCTCTCGACAGTCCGCGCACGATCTCGCCGCGTGTCTATTTATTTTAAGCCAACGGTTCTTAATCCTTTCAACGGCTAGGCACTCCTCGGATTCTCGAAACGACGCCGTAGCTTCGCGGAAAAATATATCTCTCGCATTCGGAAGAAATGTTCAGTTTTACTTTAGAACCACTGACTTAAAAAATATGTATTATTCCCAAGAAGACAATCGGAGCGGAACGTAACTGAACGGGGGAGAAACGGTCGACATGATGAAACGGGAGGGAATAACGGTGAGGATAAAGGACGGTAGATCGCTAGGAGAGAGGTCGTGAACGAGGCGGCGGAGTCGAGCGAAATATTGGAAAGCTGGCTGCGCGGCAAGATAAAACGTTTCATAAAACAGACATCGATTCCGTATTACCCGGGCGCGCCACGTCGACGTGAATCGAGAGTCTCGTTGGAGTGCTCGTCGAGAGCGCCTGCGAAGAGAGGGAGAAAACCGGGGTCCTGCCGGCGTATAAAGGGACGGGAGAAAGATACGCATTTCCTTATTGCATCTCAGAGGCCGCACCCCCCTCTCGTCTCCCCTTCGTTCCCCGCCGCTTGTGTTCTGTTCTCGCCACTTTTTGGCCGCATTCCGCGTTATCGCATCGTCCACGTGAGACCCGGGGAGGAGAAATGAAAATCCTCATGTCGCCGCGCGTAAGCCTTGTGGAAACAGAGAAGTCACGCTCGAAACAAAAATATGATTCCATTTTTTCCCTCAGATGTGATATATAATGCGCTCCGTTTCATTTTTATTCTAAAAAAATTAATGTAAAATTACAATTATTATACAGCGGATAATTTTGATACCAACTATTATAGGTGGAAATTTACATATGTATGTTAATTTATAGCTTTCAGGTGAAATTAATTTTCAGTATCGTGCTGCGTAATATTACAAAAATGTACATTATATAAGATTTGTGAAATATTATATCGCGTAATTCTCCATATAAAATAAAGATACGTTTATAATAAGAGATAAAGTTACATAAATTTTGTAATATTATATAATGTTTTATATTTTTGTTATTTTCACGTGTATTATTTGTATAAATATACTGAATTTTTTTACATTGTAAATGCAAATTATTTTTTGTTAATATTAAAGAATACGCAGCAATTATCCGCCGACAGAGAGCGTGTTATAAAACATAATTGCAATAAATCTGATGTTTGTCACGGGTCCACTTATTAAATAATTGCAGAATCACAATGTTATTTATTCATCGCGATGAAACATCGATGCAGTTTTATAATGATCTAAATAATAGCACCTTTGGCTGAATTCAGATTAACAATAACTTTTCTTTCATCGATCACGAATAACGCAATGCACACTGCCACTTTCATTAATAAAATACGTAATTTTGCTTGCGGGAGCTTTTGACATTACATTTACGTCAAACGAGATCCGATATTGCGCCACGGGGAAATTTTACGTTCCTATTAATATATAGTTGCTATATTACACGTGCATATAATTGTAGTTAATGTCAAACGGGTATCGTTGAACATGCTCTCGTAAAATCTCATTTCGGAATTATTGCGAAACGCAGACCGGGCAAAAATCAACTAGGAAACGTTTCTCTTTATCCTTTCAATTTTGTTTCATTTGCAATACCTTCTTTGATTTCCATTATCTCGCAAATTCATTTCGTACTGTTATTATTATATAGCTTGGCGAATCTTCTTGCCGTCCGTATTTTGAATTTAAAAAGTTTCACTCCACAGTAGACAGCTATTGGAACTTAATTCGACCGTCTATAACGCGTATCAGCGGTCTCTCAATTTTGCGATACGCGCGCGTATTTTGCGCGAGAGTTAAACCGTAATATAACGTAAATAGCGTGGATTACCGACCGGCGCCGTGATTATATTTTCCAATTATCCATTGTAATCAGCCGCGGTTCGATTCGATCGGCGCGCGCATCGGTCCTTTTTCTTCGGCTAGCACAGTACCTACGATATCGATGAAACGGAAATGAGCGGTGTCCGTTCAAAATATCGGATAACACGGCTGCGATTTAATTGCGTTATCGCCGACTACCTGCACGCCATGCGCTCCATTCCCCGCGCGCTCGCACACACATGATAATTATTCCATCGATTTGAAATAATTATATCGGGCTCGTAAGCGGGTAATACTCGATACTACCGCGGTCCGCTACGGCGATCAATGAATCGCGAATTTTTTTCAACACCAATTATTCCGACTCCACACTACGCGCGATCCCATTGTCCGCGCCGTTTCTCGCGAAACCTCTTCGCGTGAGGTTTGAATTTCGTTGCCTGGAATGTGCGATCGTTTTCTATGTATGCACACATCGCAATACCATCGATACCACGAATTTTTATCATTTCTCATAATTGTCCTTTCTGATAATCAAAGGAAAAAAGAATTGTAGTACAATGAATTATATATGCAAAAATAAAATAAAACGTGTAATCTGAAAATTAAACAGAATTGATTAACAATAAGTTATAAAAAATAGCGTATATTAAATGCTAAATAAAGAAAATTCCATGACAAAAAATTAAGAATTTGTTTAAAAAATTTTTTTAATGTGTTATGTATAAACTATTGCATTACATGCTTAAGCTTACGAATTGTTGGATTTCTTTTTGTTACAGAATCGACGCGCGAGAGAAGCCGGTGACGAAGGCGCAGCACTCTTCGGATTCCGGTGTTTTCGGTCCACGCGCCTTTTTCCGAACAGCTTTCCCGAGCCCGGCGGTTTTGGTGATTGACGATATAAAACGCCACGACGCGGCAACGTACAGATGCAGAGTGGATTTCCGGAAGGGCCAGACGCGCAGTTTCCGGTACAATTTGACGGTGATTGGTGAGTACCTCAAAAATGTAATACATCATGATATTCCCGATTTCTCTGTACGAGTATAGCAAATAGATACGTATAGTCTCTTTATATAAACGGCAGCTTAGTCATTGTTCCTGCTATTTTTACAAGCGTTTAGATAAGATTACTAAATGAAAAATTCAGCCACTTTAAGCAATGAGTTTTCTTTGGATTTTTCTGACCTATTTTTATTTTTAAAGAACGATTCTTTTATAGTTATTTCTTTAACCTTTTTAAATATTCTGATATATTTAAAAAAATTTTATTTTATTAATTTGTTTCTTAAATAGATATTTGACTACAAACGAAAATAGGTAGATTTTATTATAAAGCTTATTGAAGCATATAAGCTATCTATTTTGAAATTAAATTAGATATATTCAGGAAACAAGCAAAATACAATGGGATTTGGATACGAGATATAAAAAATAAAATTAAAATAACTTTAAATATGTTATATTTTTGATAAATTATAGGATATTGATCATAATAAATAATACGGCTATAGCAATAGTAGCTACAATGATTGTTCATTTATATGAAAAGCAGCTTACTGCTCGCTTTTCTCCATTCAATCAAAAAGAGTTCATAGCGGACTAATTTATTATGACTTTAAAGAGAAGCCTTAAAACGCATTATCCTGCCGCGGATGAACTGGATGGAAAAAGTGAGAACTGGTAGAAAGAGAAATAGCGGTTTTGTTCGAAAAATCGATCAGGCCTGGCCTGCCGTGTCGCGCACCATCGAAGAAACGATTTGCGGCGATCAGATCGAACACACGAGCATGAAAGCTACTATGGGTGGCTATTTCGCGAGGGCACGGGGTTCCGATCGATCTTTCGCTCAGTTTCGAACTTACTAACCCGTCACCTATTTGAACGCGCACATAGATTCGCTCGCCTCGCCGCCGCGCGCGCTACCTCCTCGCGAAACCCGACGGAAGTAAAGTGCGCCTTGAGACGGCGGACGGGTGTCTGATCAAACAAATGCCGCGACTACTGAAAAATGCATGAGTCAATAGCAAACGCGTCGTCCCGCCGTCGTACGTCTGCGTGCGGTGGCAGTTTTACACCGTGTGGCCACTCCGAAGCTCAGTTCACGTATCTCAGGCTTCTCCGACACCCATTCTCGAGCGCTTCCTTTCACGAACGAGAGGCGCGAATTCGGTGAATTTCGATTAAACGCGACGGATCCGTCGAACCCCGCACAAATACCGATATTTCGCTCGTATTTCGCGACGAGGATAACGGCGGCAAACTGCGGGCTACGTTGGCGATGACCTGAAAAATCCCGCCCGACCGTTATTACGTACGTCGCGGTGATTCCACTTCCGCATATCCTGCCGCGTATCCTTTCGCGGCTTAGAGTAATACCCGTGAACCATACCGCGCTCCCTTCATCCCAGATGTGCTGCACGGGCGCGAATACAGTTGATCATAAAGTCCACGACGTACGGAGGGTGTAACTTTCATGGAAGCCCCTTCAAAGCAGTCGGTAACGGAGTACGCTCGAATCTCGGGATATCCCGTATAGCTCGCGGCGGGAATATAACCGGGAAAATCCTACTCCCGATCCTCCCGATACCGGAATCCATCTTTGGCGCCAATCCCGCGCCTCTCCTCGCCGCCCCTATCGACTGGAGGTTAAAGAGCGGAATAGTGAAAGGGAGAGAAATGGCGTGAGAGAAGGAAAGCTGCTGGGAGAGGATGAAAGAGAGAGAGAGAGAAACGACAGGGAAAGGGATAAGGGTGGTGAGAATGTAAGTGTCGCAGTGCAGATTCCGGGAAGACCCGGCGACCAGTATGGAATTCCTTGACTGATCCCTCAGGCGATCTAACCCTTTCTAGTAATAGCGGGGTGCGCATAGTGTTTCTGAAATGTTCGACTGTAACACTCCACGTCGAATATCCATATAATATTCGCAAATACTGGATATCACAAAATAAACGAATGATATTTTTATTGGCAGATTTTTCTACGAGATTTCCATTTCCGTTTTCCTTTGGCAAATCCCAAAAAACTGTCGTTTGCTGCAGCGTTCAAAATTTCATTATTTCTATTTTTTGTAATTATTTATATTTCTGTTTTATTTGTATTATATTCTTATAAAAAAAATTAAACCTGTCGTTAAATTTTATATAATACGAAATTCGATATAATACAAATTAATCAAAATTATTTTACTCTCGTATCCAATCTCATTGTATTGTGTTTGTTTTTCCTGAATATGTCTACATTTAATTTCAAAATAGACAGCTTATATGCTACAATAAGTTTTATAATAAAGTCCACCTATTTTCTTTTGTCTAATATCTATTTAAGAACTAAATTAACGAAACAAAATTGAAAAAATTATATCAAAATATTTAAAAAGATTGAAGAAATAACTATAAGAAATCGCTCTTTAAAAATAAAAATAGGTTAGACAAATCCAAAAAATAAATAAATTATTTTGATTATTAATTATATATTATATTAAGAAAGTTTCAATTGCTTGATAGTTAAATCGCACATAAAAATTTTGCTCATATAATGCAAGTTATCTTTCGCCAATTAAAAAGCGCCTACTGAAAGATATATTCTCTATTTCTGTACGATGTATCTCGAGCTTAAAAGCGGGAGAGTTTTGTTAATTTTTTTGTATCTTTTGCACAACTGCGCGCACACGCGGTTTCGCGCTTTAATTAAGTTGCGCCAATATCGAGCAAACTGATCGCAGAGGCGCCGCTCCGAGAGGCAATCCATTTTCTGCCTCCTCGGTTCCGGCTTTGCCGACACGTTCGTCTGTCCGTCCGCACGTACCCTCAAAATGCTCCCCTGGAATCTGCCTCGCAAGGACCCCCGTGCCGCAACGTCCAATTCAAACGTACTCACGGTATTCCAAAAAGTAACGAACGAAATTGGCCCCTGCGGGTGTGGTATCAAACCTCACAGAGGACAAGGTATTTTCATCAGAGAAGATTGGTTCCCAAGAGTTCCTAGAGATCGCCTCTCCCTCTCTCTCTCTTCGACTTTCCTGGGCTTTTCCGCGGTAAAACCGTCCTACCTATTCCAGCGATGCAATGTCCGAGCGCGTCTCTTCCGCTTTATCTCTTTCCCTCGCTCGCATATTGCGGCACCAAGATGCTGGGCGAAATACGTATTCGAGCTCTTCGACGTTTAACTTAGCATGAATGCGGTCGACGTTGAGCGAATCTCGACGTTTGGCTTCCGTTATTTTCTACAGCGCACTCCATCCGTCTGTTTAAGCATCTTGAAGCATGCAAACACTGAAATTCTTACCATGCTTTTTGCCGCGCTTTCGAAAACGCGCATGCAAAATTTAATAAACGAATTATTTATACAGTTTACGCAAAACATTTTTGCATTCGGCGTAGCGTTCTGTGTATAACAAATCATAACTGATTCAGTTATATTATTTTACTTTATTTTCAATTAAAAATATTAATCAAAATATTGATATAACCAGGAAATTAAATATTACACCTTTTTCAACAAAATTTCTATTTTAGTATCTTTATTTTAAACACACATAATCGTCGATGTATCAATTTTGCTAATTTTATTTCTGCGAAATATACTGTTTGATAAAAAAATCAATGTCTTTCAAATAAAGTAGTTTTAGGTCCATAACACTTGGCTTTATAAATTAGTCTTATTGCGATTCTTGTCTTGCGATATTGTTATCATTTCTCTTTATTTCCTCAGCCACACAGCAAAATTTCACTGCGCGGAGAGGGATATTTTAAGATGCGTTGATTTTTTTGTGCATTACGATTGTCATACGGTTTCTCTTGAGGTGAGAAAGGCAATTATACACAGTACGTATGCATGCATACATTCTTGCAAGCACAATGGCGATATATTAACGCACACACCTAGCGCGCGTGAAGCACTGTCTTATAGATTAGGCTAATGCGGCAGTATTCGCGCGGTATTGTTACGCTATCGTATTACAACGCGCTCTGTGTCATAGTATATACGAGCACAATATTATTATCCAGCGTAATCATGTAAGTATATTACGCGCCGGCGCGTGGCATAATAGTTAGCGTTACTTACGTGAGTTTCACGAACAGGCTCTATGTGTCATCACGTGAAGCAGTAAAATGTAGTTTTATTTCCAAAATGCTTGTATAAGAAGAAAACAAGTGGAGCGTTTAGAGTAACATTTTTCAATTTAGAGTCTCGTGTTTTTATAGCCTTTTCTCTGTTGTTTTTTCAATTTAGATTCCAGGAGTGAAATTCCCGCGTGAATTTGTGTGTCTATTTTTTTTCTCGTTTTATTTAACTCTATCTCCCGTTGAAAATCACCGATTGTCCTTTTATGCGTAATCATCTATCTTCTTCCGTCTTTGTAAGAACACAGAGACGAGCGGCGTTCTTGAAATAAGCGAGCTTGCACGACGGCGCCGGTGAAAAGAAGGATAGCGCAGATTAGAGGAGCGAATTAGAATTTCAGAAATCCACGCGAACTTTCCGCGTTAGCTCAGGCCAAACTCCGCCGGCGAATGGGGTGCGAAGGAGGAGGAAGAGTACGAATGGACGTGGGGTGGACAAACCCCGTCGTTAAGTCTTCCCTTAATTAACCTAACCTTTTCCCTCTCATTCACTCCCCCGCCCACGCTTCTCGTAACTCCGTTTCCTACTCCTCCGTCTCTGTGCTTCGTCTCTCTGCGCTTTAGCTCTCCCGTTGCATTAACGCCGAGAGGAAAATCTTCGTCTACGTTCCTCGCAAGGAAAAGGGGCGCGCCGGCCAGATCGATCCTTTTGCCTCTCTCGCAGTTGAAATAATATCGGGAGACACTCGAGCCGGATAATGCGAGTCGAAATTAAGCACGAAATAATATAAAGCGTCTTTGTCACCCAGCGCAGCTAACGCGGCGCGTCTTCTCGAAATAATTCGCGACGGACGAAAGCGGATTATCGGACGCGGAGAGCCGGTCGCGAAAGGAATTTGGATTTGCGTTTGTGACTCTCTTCGA